ATCAGGGTTGTATCTTTTCACCATACTTATTCAATCTGTATCCTGAGGAAATTATCTGAGAAACTGGACTGTATGAAGGAGAACATGGAATCAGGATTGGAGGAAGAATCATTAACAACCTGTGATACACTGACAACACAACTTTGCTTGCTGAAAGTGAGGATGATTTGAGGCACTTATTGATGATGACTGAAGAATACAGGCTGCAGTATGGATTACATCTCAATATAAAGAAAACAAAAATTCTCACAACTGGACCAATAAGCAGCATCACAATAAATGGAGAAAAGATTGAGCTTGTCAGATAATTCACATTGCTTAGTTCTACAATTGACGCCAATGGAAGCAGCAGTCAGGACATTAGAGAACATATAGCACTGGGCAAGTCGGCTGCAAAGGAACTCTTTCAAGTGCTGAGGAACAAGGATGTCTCCTTGAGGACTAAGGTATGCCTGACATAACCCATGATATTTTCAATTGCCTCGTATGCATGTGAGAGCTGGACAATGAATAAGGAAGACCGAAAGAGAGTTTATGCTTTTAAATTGTGATGCTGGTGAAGAATACTGAAAGTACCATGGACTGCTAAAAGAACTAACAGATCTGTCCTAGAGGACGTGCAGCCGAAATGCTCCTTGGAAACAAGAATGGCCAGACTTCTCCTCACCTACTTTGGTCATGTTGTCAGAAGGGACCATTCCATGGAGCAGGATGTCATACTTGGTAAAGTGGAGGGTTGATGAAAGAGGGGAAGGCCTTCAACGAGATGGACTGAAACGGTGGCTGCGATGATGGGCTCAAGTATATCAAGGATCATGGATCTGGTGCGGGATTGGGTGGTGTTTTGTTCTGCTGTGCACAGGGTTGCTATGAGTCGGAAACCACTTGACGGCACCTAACAACAACAACGACATTGTTTGGCTGGAAGTCACGGGAGTGAGTTCAACTGCAAACCTGAAAGGTAACTAGGGGCCATAGTTTCAGGGGATCTTATCAGGCTAGAGAATAAAACGGTTTAGATAGAGATGTTTCAGATGCTCTTAATAGCTGCTTTTTCCCCCTCTTCCTTTTTCTCAGTAACTCATTCTTTCACTACAGTAGGGGATAGTGCTCAAAAATAATCAGCACCCAGGAGACATAAATATCCATCCCAACCATAGAATTACCCCTAACTGCTCTCTTTTCTCATACCCCATATGTAATCTATTGGCAAATACTGTTAGCTCTACTTTTAAAATATATTCATAGCCCAATCACTTTTTACCACTTCTGCTATTTCCATCTTACTCAATTCACTGTTAGGTATCTCCTGGATCACAGCAAAGGAGTGCCTTCTAACTCAACAAAGGAGTCAGAGTCCCTTTTAAAACAAAAACTAGACCATGTCACTGCTGGGCTCAAAACTCTCTAGAGGCTTCATCTCTAATCAGATAAACCAAAAGTCCTTACAGAGACATATGAGGCCCCACTTGATCTGGATCCCTGCTAGCCCTCCAGTCTTTTCTCCTACTACTCTTCTGCCTTGATCATTTCTTTACAACCTCTGTGCTACTAACTGATACAAACATGCCAGTTAGGCTGCCTACCACTGGGCCTCTGTATACTTGTTCTCTCAGTCTGGAGGGTTCTTCTGTAGGTATCCACATGACTTTCTTCAGCTCATTTAGTTTCTTGTTACCTTCTCAATGAGGCTTTCAAAGATTGTTCTATTTAACACTGTATCTGCTCCCCCTTGACACTTTTATCCTTCCTCTTTCCTACTTTGTTTTTCTCCATAGCATCTGTCAACACGTGACCTACTTTTAAATTACTTATTTGTTTATTATCTATGTCCCTCTACTAGGTTGTAAGCTCTACAAAGGCAAGGACTTTTGCCTAGTGTTATCTCCAATATCAAAAAGTATCTGTTGAATAAATGAAAGGATTTACTTTGAGGGGATGAAGTGAGTTTAATATTTAATAAAACCAAATGTCAGAGCTGGCATTTATCATGGGATTATGTTACAGAGTCACTGAAAAAATAATTTTACAAAATTTTATTTCTCATTCAGTAGTTATTTTTGACAGGAAGCAAAAAATCAAATTCACTGTAGCCAATATATATCAGTCTTTTGCCTTTTAGAAAAAGAGTATTTTTCAGTGTCTAATTGTTCACAGAATGATGTTAAGCAGATCTGTTACTTTAAGTATTTTTTAAAAAATAGAAACATAAATAAGATATACATTTAAAAGTCATGCACCCATCCCTGACCCTATCTACTCATTTCACCCACTCTGCTATCCCTATAGTTTGTCACTTATATTAGTACTTCCTTATGTATCCTTAAAGAGATAGTTTCAGAAAATGTAAGCAAATAGTTTTTCCTTTTTTCTTATACAAAATGTAGCATGAATATAGTGCTTTTTAATCTTGCTTTGTTTTTTAAACTTTACAATATATTCTAGAAATCTTTTTCATATCAATAATTACAGAGCTTCCTAACTCTCTTCTTTTTTTTAATGGCTGTGTGGTAGACAGAATAATGTCCCTCCAAAGACGTCTACATTGTAATCCTCAGAATCTGTGAATATGTTATCTTCCACGGCAAAAGGGACTTTGGAGATGTGACTGAATGATCTGGAGAAGGGGTAAATTATTGTGAATTATCCTGGTAGGGCCAATGTAATAAGGATCCTTATAAGGGAAAGAGGGAGGCAAGAAGGTTAGAGTCAGAGAAGGAGATGTGACAAGGAAAGCAGAGGCTGGAATGATGTGACCATGAGCTAATGAATTAAGGCAACCTGTACAAGCTAGTAAAAGGCAAAGACTGGACTCACCCCTAAAGTCTTCAGAAAGAACACAGTCCTGCCAATATTAGCCTTGAAGACCTATTTGGGACCTCTAGAACTATAAGATAATAATTTTTTATTATTTTAAGCTACCAAATTTGTGGTAATTTGCCATAGCAGCAATTAGGAACTAATACAAGCATATAATACTTAAATGTTTGGATCCAAACCAAAACCAAACTCACTGCTGTGGAGTTGGATCCGACTAATAATGACTCCTCCTTGGGTTTCTGAGGCAGTATCACTATGGAAGTAGATTGCCCAATCTTCCTTCCGAGGAGTGGCTGGTGGGTTTGAAACCACCAACCTTCTGGTTAGCAGTCAAATGCCTTAGGCACTACTCCACAAGAGCTCCCCAAATGTATGGCAAATACACTATGGTTAATCAACTGTCTATAAAAGCGTAAGAGACTGTCTTCAAACTTCTGCCATTTATAGCCAGATGATGGATTGATGCTTCATAGGGTAAGCACATCTATGATTTTGATTGGTGCTGCCATTGTCCCCCATAAGTGTTGTACCACTTTGTTCTCCCATCAGCAATGTGTGAGTATTCAAGCTAAAATTTGATGGATTAAAAAGAAAAAAAAGTGAGTATGTGTCTACTCCTAAATTCCTAAATTATATTAGAAGGGCTTGTTCAAGAAGGACACAAAGGGAAGAGCTAAGTCAATTAAGTATGCATTATAAAAATAACATCTTCTCCAACAGACCCTATATAAACTCCAAGTTGTTATAATAAAAAACCCTCTGCTGTTGAGTTGATTCCAACTCCTGGTGAACCCGAAGAGTAGAGTGTTACTGCCTCATAGGGCTTCCAAGGCTGTTATGGAAGCAGACTGTCCCATCTTTTTCCTACTGTGCAGCTGATGAGTTCAAACTGCCAACCTATTGGTTGGCAGCTGAGCATTTAACCACTGTGCCACCAGGGCTCCTAGTTACTATAATACCTACCTGTAATGGAGTTGCACAAGTATAGATGGCATTTTGTTGAACTGTCTGTAAATGCTTTATCAAATAACTGGGACCAATGGACCAGCCAAGCTGAGAAAGGAAAAGATAAAAGCAGATGTCAAAAAAAAAAAAAAAAAAAAAAAAAAAAATCTAATTGTATATACTAAATCTAAGAAAGTAGAGAAACTTAATGTGATTTTGCAAATTCTAAAATGTCCACACTATGAAGATAATGTAATATTAGTAGCGAGAATCATTTCAACATTGTTCTTTTATGGGTATGTTTCCATTGGAGCCACTAAATCTCTGCCTTCAGAAAGTAAAGAGTGCCTGCAATCATCATCAGCCTTCTCCACTCTTCTAATTTGCTACTTCTGATAATCTTAAGGTCTAAAAAACAGCAGCAAAGCTTGTTTGAATTATGTATAAAAGGTGGAATGAGGGTCTAAAGGACCCTTCCATAATTAAAATATATAGGTTTTGACACTCCCTTCTTCTTAGCCATGCTCAGAATAGGTGTGGTTGACAGATAAATGAATTTCAACTGGATAAATTTTCATTGTAATAAAGAGTGCAAAGGTTAAGCACATGATTCTGGGACTGGGCTGATTGCACCGGGTTGAAGTTAGCGGTAGTGTAATGTCAGGTGTGATGGATAATTTAACATATCAATTGGCTAGGCTATGTTCCCAGTTGCTTGGCCAAACACTAGTCTAGTTGCTGTTATGGAGTAGTTACATGTGCTATTATGAAATACAAACAAAACAAAACAAAAACAAATCTAGTTGCCATCAAGATGATTCCAACTCAGAGTGATACCATGCATGTCAGAGTAGAACTGTGCTCCACAGGGCTTTCAATGGCTGCGACCTTTCAAAAGCAAGTGCCTCCGAGTGGATGTGAAGTGCCAATTTTTCAGTTTTTACCACATGTAATTAAATTAGGAGGTGCTCTGGTGGTGCAGTGGTTAAGGCATTCAGCTGCTCACCAAATGGTCAGTGGTTTAACCCACCAGCTGCTCTATGGGAGAAAGATGAGGTAGTTTGTTTCAGTAAAGATTTATAGCCTTAGAAACCCTATGGAGTAGGGGCAGTTCTACTCTGTCCCACAGGGTAGCTATGAGTCACAATCGACTTGATGGTACTGGGTTTGGTTTGGTATTAATTAAACCAGTTGGCTTCGAGTAAAGCAGATTACTTTCCATAATGTAATGACCTTATATGTAACGTAATGTAGTTACCTTCCTTCCATAAGTTCACCTAACATAATGTAATTAATCCATCACTTGAAGACCAAAGGAGCAAAAAAGGAGTTTCCCTAGTATGCATTCTGCCTCCAAACTATAAATAGGTATTTTGGTAGACCTGTGAACTCACTCTTCCCATCACCTGGGATGCAAGCCTGCAGGATTGTCTAGCCTGTTGGCTGACCTATGGATTTTGGACTTGCCAGCCTCCTCACCCCCCAACTTTGTGAATAAATTCCTTGAAGAAGTAAATCAATTTCTCCTTTCCCTTACTCTTTCTTTCTCTCTCTCTCTCTGTATGTATATATATTGAGATGAGGGAGACTACTGTGGTTCCAACATACTGGTTCTGTTTCTCTAGAAAACTGTGATTAAGACATTGGGGATATTACTTCACTTCTCCATGCTTTAGTTTTATCATCTGTAAAACAGAGATAATAACTGTAGTCATTTCCTAATGTGGTTATGATAAATAAATAAATAATTGTAAAGCACTTAGAACAGTGTTTTACTATGTGTCACAAAAAATTACCTGTTATTCTTTTTTCTTTTTTTTATATTTACATGCAGCAAACCATGCATTTTTTTGCAAACAAAAAAGTAGCATTAATTGCTTATCTGTAAAGAAATGACTGGGCCCAATAAAGAATAAAGGTCATAAATAAATAAATAAATAAAGGTCAACATCAAAGCTAAATGAAGAAACAGTAAGTTAAAGATCATTAAGCAGGAAAACTTATGTCAACTGAATATATAGGCATTCAAACACAAAATACCCTAAAATAAATAAAATACATGTTTTTAAGCAATAGAATTCTCATTCATCTTACCTTCCAGCCAGTTACACTGAAAGTCTTTCCAGCACTTCCTATTGTTATTGTTCTTTCCCACATACCTGGAAAAGTGGCTGACAGGAAATAAAAAAAAGGTTAAAATAATTACTCTCTAATCAAGGTAAATTCAGTATTATCTGAAAACATGAAAAAGATACATGAATTCAATGAAAACAAATATACTGAAATGTAATCAGTAGTTATTTCAATAGTTTTTTTTAGAATGTAACTTTAATCCAAAACTGCAGGGCTTAAAATCAGGAAGACTGTGTGACAGAGTTATATCCTCTCACCATACTTATTCAATCTGTATGCTGAGCAAATAATCTGAGAAGCTGGGCTATATGAAGAAGAATGTGGTATCAAGATAAGAGGAAGACTCACTAACAACCTGCAATATGCAGATGATACAACCTTGCTTTCTGAAAGCAAAGAGGACTTGAAGCATATACTGATAAAGATCAAACACTACAGCCTTCACTATAGATTACACCTCAACATAAATAACACAAAAATCTTCATAATTAGATCAATAAACAACATCATAGAATTTCATTTTACCTGGATCCATAATCAATGTCCATGGAAGTAGCAGTCAAGAAATCAAATGTATTGCACTGGGCAAATCTGCTTAAAAAGACCTATCTAAAGTGTTAAAGAGCAAAGATGTTACTTGGAAGACTATGGTGCACCTGACCCAAGTCGTGGTATTTTCAATTACATCATATGCATGTGAAAACTGGACAATGAATAGGGAAGACGGAAGAAGAATTGGTGCATCTGAGTTATGGTATTGGCGAAGAATATTGAATATGCTACAGACTGCCAGAAGAACAAACTCTGTCTTGGATGAAGTACATCTAGAATGCTCCCTAGAAGTGAGAATGGCAAGACTTTTTCTGTCATACTTTGGTCATGTTGTCAGAAGAGGTTGGTCCCTGCTGGTAAAGGATATCATGCTTGGTAAAGTAGAGGGTCGGTGAAAAAGAGGAAGACCCTCAATGACATGGATTGACATAGTGGCTGCAACCATGGGGTCAAGCATAGCAACAATTGTGAGGATGTTGTAGGATGGGGCAGTATGTCCTTGTGTTGTACCCAGGGTCACTAGGAGTCAGAATTGACTTGACAGCACCCAACAACAACAAAAACCCAAAACACTGATGAAAATGTTACAATGCTTTAAGACACTATAATATCACACAAAATACTGTTTAGATTTAATAAGGTTGAGAAGAAAAATTATTTTTAGGTGCAGGAGTGATTGTGCTACTTGTAAGCTGTGCTTTCGGCAGAAGTGACAGAAAATATGGCATCCAGTGTTCAGCATTAGTAGCAGTATGTTCAATAAAATACTTCTGTGGCATGGTTTTGGTTGTGGTCCTGGCTATTGTTTAGCCCACCTTTACTCTACTTTCTAATTAAATTTCTGAAGACTTCCTAAAAAGCGATGGTTTTCTGTGATGGAGTTCCTGTGGGCCCAGAAGGTAGGTGGGAGTGGGGATGGCCACACCTCTGTTCACCAAGTGGGTGTAGGGTGTAGTAACAAGAAGAATGTCATATCTTTTCAGTCTTGCAGGCCCCGATTGTCCTTGGGTTGCTGGAAAGCAGAACGTGTTCTTAAGCCCCAGAAATCTGCGAGAGCACTGTCTCTTTGAATATCCAAAATAGTCAAGCCGCTTTTTAAACCTTCAAAATGGCGGTGCCCTCTGGACCGGCAAAAGTCCACAGCTCAACCCACCTTTCTCTTCTTCTCCGTTTGTTCCCCAGCCACCGTGCACAGTCCTCCGTGCAGTCCCTGGCTAGCAGGGTGATTTTTAGGTTAATTCTTAGGTCCTACCACCACTCAGGAATCTCCAAGCTGTCTGTCGCTGCCAGACCGCAGCTCCGTGTGTCTCCTTTTTTGGTATTTTCACACAAATTCTTCTGCTAGTTGGGGTTTAGTCCACTTTTGTATCCTTCCCTTCAAGACTCAGGGGTCCAAGATTATCTTCTGTGTCTGTGTTAATTGGTTTCCCTTTTCTTTGTTGAAGAGGGTCTGTGCAGCCTTCTGCCTAGTCCGCCATCTTGCCGGAACTCCCCCCCAAGGCTGTAAATTTTTATGGAAGCAGACTGCAACATCTTTCTCCCATGGAGTACTTGGCAGGTTCAAACTGCTGACCTTTCAGTTGACAGCCAAGCACTTACCTACTGGGCCAACAGGGCTCCTCAACATTTCACATAAATGGACTCGTGTTCTTTTGTAACTGCTTTCTTTCACTTAGTATAATGTTATCAAGGTTCATCCTTATTATACTATGCATTAGTACTTCATTCCTTTCTATGCGTATAAAATATTTCCACTGTATAGATACACTACATTTTATTTATCCATTCATCTGTTCATAGACCTTTGGGGTGTTTGCCTCTGTGGCTATTATAAATAATGTCAACATTCAGCAATCTGTGTTTTAAGAAGCCTTTCACATGATTCTGATGTATGCTAATGTTTGAGAACCTACACATCTCTGAGACTCCATAAACTATGGAAAATTTTTTATCATAAATTATTTTCTGCTTATGATTCAGACCTCTTCTCTGTTGTGTATGTCTAACACATTCACTGATCCAGAATTTGGCACAAGCATGGGGTGCCATAAGTAGTAAACAGTAAAATGTAGAATTGGCTGAGTGAGTAGGTAGCACAGAGTGTACTGGAGACCTCACTATTCATGGTTGAGATACTGTTATGTGCTGTCAAGTAGGTTCTGACTCATAGTGACTATATACAACAGAACAAAACACTACTTAGTTCTGCATCATCCTCACAGTCACCGCTATGTTTGAGCCCATTGTTGGAACAACTGTGTCACTTCATCTCATTGAGAGTCTTATGCTTCTTCACTGATCTTCCAATTTACCAAACCAGTCCTTCTCTAGGGACTGGTCTCTCCCAATAACATGTCCAAAGTTTGTGAGAAGAAAAAAAGTTTGTCATTCTTGCTTCTAATACATATTCTGTCTGCACTTCCTTCAAGACAGATTTGTTCATTCTTCTGCCAGTCCATAGTATATTCAGTATTCTTCACCACCACCATAATTCAAATGAATCAATTCTTTGGTCTTCCCTATTCACTGTCCAGCTTTTGCATGCAGATGAGGCAACTGAGCATACCATAGCTTTGGTCAGGTGCACCTTACTCCTCAAATTGACACCTTTGCTTTTCAAAACTTTAAAGAGCTCTTCAGCAGCAAATCTGGTAGTGTAATACATTGCTGGATTTCTTGACTGCTGCTTCCACGGCTGTTGATTGTGGATCCAAGTAAAATTAAATCCTGGGCAATTTCAATCTTTTCTCCATTTATCTTGATGCAGTTTACTGGTCCAGTTGTAAGTAGTTTTGTTTTCTTTATATTGAGGTGCAATCCATACTGAAAGCTTTGACTTTCCTCAGTAAGTGCTTCAAGTCTTCTTTGTTTTGAGCAAGCAAGGTTGTGTCATGTGCATATCACACGTTGTTAATGAGTCTTCCTGCATTCCTGATGCACTGTTCTCCTTCAGAGAGTGCAGCTTCTCAGATTATTTGCTCAATATACAGATTGAGTAAGTATGGTGAAAGGATATAACCCTAATAGAGACCTTTCCTGATACCATACTATACAGTATGCCCTTGTTCTTTTCAAACGACTGCCTCTTGATGTAGGCATAGGTTTCACAGGTGCACAATTAGGTGTTCTGGAATTTCCATTCTTCACCATATTATTCCTGATTTGTTATGATCCACACAAATACCTTCGCATAATCATTAAAAAATAGGTAAACATCTTTCTGGTATTCTCTGCTTTCAGCCAAGAGCCATGTGACATCAGCAATGATATCCCTTGTTCCATATTCTTTTCTGTATCTAGTTTGGATATCTGGCAGTTCACTGTCAATGTACTGCTGCAATCATTTTTGAATTATCTGCAACAAAATTTTACTTGTGTGTTGATATTGCTCAATAACTTCTGCATTTTGTTGGATCACCTTCCTTTCAAATGGGCACAAATGGATCTTTTCCAGGCAGTTGTCCAGGTAGCTGTCTTCCAAATTTATTGACATAGATGAGTGAGCACTTCTAGTGTTGCATCCATTTGTTGAAACATCTCAATTGGTATTTTATTAATTCCTAGAGCCTTGTTTTTTTGCCAATATCTTCAGTGCAGCTTGGACTTCTTTCAATATCATCCATTCTTGAGTATGTGCTACCTCCTGAAATGGTTGAACTGTTGACCAATTCTTTTAGGTTCAGTGACTCTGAGTATTCTTTCCTTTTGATGCTTTCTGTGTCATTCAATATTTTGTCCATAGAATCTTTCAGTATTGCAACTATAGGCTTCATTTTTTTTCTTCAGTTTTTCAGCTTAAGAAATGCTGAGTGTGTTATTCCCTTTGGTTTTCTAACTCTGTCTTTGCACATTTCATTGTAATACTTTGCCTTCTGAAGCAGCCCTTTGAAATCTGTTCAGCTCTTTTACTCCATCATTTCTTCCATTTCTATCTTTGAGAACAAGTTTCAGAGCCTCTTCTGAAACCCATTTGGTCTTTCCTATCTTTTTAATAACTTTTGCTTTCTTTATGCATGATGTCCCTAATTTTATCCCATAACTCATTGGGTCTTAGGTTAATAGTTTCAATGTGTCAAATCTATTCTTGGAGATGGTCTCTAAATACAAGTGAAGGTTGTACTTTGGCTCTTGTGGACTTGTTTGAATTTTCCTCAGCTTCAACTTGATCTTGCACATAAGTAAGTGATGTTCTATTCCACAGTTAGCCCTTGGCCTTGTTCTGATGTTATGGAGCTTCTCCATTGTCTCTTTCCATAAATGTTTATTGATTTTGATTCCTGTGTATCCCATCTGGTGAGATCCACATGTATACCTACCATTTGTTGTTGCAAAAAAAAGGTACTTGCAGTGACTAAGTCATCAGTCTTGCAAAATTCCATTATGCGATTTCTAGAGTAATTTCTATTATCAAGACTTATTTTGCAACTACTTATTGATACTTCTCTTCGTTTCCAACTTACACATTCCAATTACCACTAATTGCTAA